TTTCTAGAATCGTGCACTGTACCCACTGGGGTTCATGTTGTGATCTTCAAATAAAGGGCACCTTCACATGCATTGCAGGGAGACAGCCCATCTGAGAAGGCAGGTCCAGCTTAGCTACTACAAAATCAGCTGTGCCACAGAATCTCTGTGGGAGAAGGTCACGGAGTTACAGGGCCTCCAAGATCATGTCACAGATGAGGAAACTGGGCTCAGAGGGGAAGTGTCTCACCTGAGGTCACAAGCTAATTCATCATTTATTACTTAAGCAATGGTTATCAAGCACCTACTGTGTGTCAGCTGATGTACCAGGCACTGGGAATGGCTAACCAGAAGGTTAAGCTATAGATTATGCTATTACGGCACCTACCATCTAGCTGGGCAGACAAACATATGAGCAGGCAATTACGATAGAATAGGCCAGACGCTGTGGGTGGAAGAAAGTGCAGAGGGCCACAGTGGCACTAGAACAAAGTTAGGCAATTCTGTCTTCAGAGACTGAGAAGGTATGGTAGGCTGAACAATGCCCCTCTGCCCCCAAAGATGTCCACATCCTAATCCTTGGAACATGTGAATATGTTACTTTACATAACAAAAAACTTTGTAGATGTGATTAAGTTAAGGACCATGAGATGGGGGAGATTATAACTGGATTATCTATGTGGCCTCAATGTAATCACAAGGGTCTTTATAACAGGGAGGCAGGAGGTCAGACTCACAGACAGAGATGTGACAAAGGAAGCAGAGGCCAAAGAAAGGGAGAGATTTAAAGATGCTACCCTACTGGCTTTAAAGATGGAGGAAGGGGCCACAAGCCAAGGAGTGTAGATGATCTCTTGTTAATTGCTTTAGAGTCAATCCTGACTCATGCTGACCCCATGTGTGCAGAGTAGAACTGCTCCATAAGGTTTTCAAGACTGTGACCTTTTGGAAGCAGATCACCAGGGCTGTCTTCTGAGGCATCTCTGGGTGGGTTCGAACCACCAACCCTATAGCTAGCAGTCAAGCACTTAAATGTTTGCCCCACGCAGGGGCTCTAGATGATCTCTAGGGGCTGGAAAAGGCGAAGATTCTTCCCTAGAATCTCCAGAAGGAACACAGCCCTGCCAACACCTTTATTTTAGTCTACTGAGACCCATTTTGGACTCCTGACCTCCAGAACTGGAAGAAAATAAATCTGTGTTTCTTTAAGCCTCTAAAATTTGTGGTAATTTGTAACAGCAACCACAGGATACTAATCCAGAAGGTTTCACCTGAGGTGAGACGACTTGGGAACCATGCTCCGTTAAATGAACCAGGCAGAGAAGGCGAATAGCTTTCCAAGATAAGAGCTCAGGGTGCTGGGAAAATATGGAGAAGCTTGGTGTGCCAGGAAGTGAGAGGCATGGAGAGGAGTCAATAGATGAGGTGCTTAAAAGAAGCGTGGTCTTGCAGTCCTTGCTGCCTGATGGATGCTTGGGGTCAACTGCCTTCTCTACCTTCTCTATGCGTGACCTTCTTAACTTCTATTTCCTTATCTCTTAAAAGGAGGACAATAATGGAATTTCAACATAGGATTTTCGGGGGACTCAAGAAGATATCTGTGCAAAATGTAAACACTGTGGCTAGTATGCAGTGAGCCCTCATTAGCAACGATGACTTCTTTGTGAAGTTAATGGGGAGTCCACAGAGGCTTGGCTTAAAGGTCACCTGACAGAGTAGGAAAGGATTCCAGGTTTCTCGGGTATACGCCATACTGCACTGCCTCTTTCTTGGTCCTCTTAACCCCAGGAGATACCTCTGTGTTTCCAGAACCATTCAGTATAGCCACATTCCCAGGTGGGAAGAAAGCTTGGCTTTGTGCCCTGGGATTTACTGGGGCAGCCAGCCTTGACCCTTGGCAGAAAGTTCTGTTATATGGCACAACCAGAGCAGAGGCCACGGGCTCTTGCCTGGGCTGCAGACAGCTACAGTGCATAACTCAGGGAAAATCCGGGGTAAAGCTGCAAAACCTGTGAGGCAGATGCCCTTCATTCTCCTCACAGTTCCCCCTCTCCGGGCACCCCATGTCCCATAATGGCCCCTTGGTTCCCTAGGTCTCCTCAGGGACCTGCTCATCTCTAGCTCAATCCAGGGACCTGGGCATTGCTTCTGTCTCCCTCACAATCAAAACTAGAACCACAAAATCCTCGTATCTTAGGATGGGAAAGGAATCACACTGCCTTCTTTTCTCCACACTGAGCATTCCGAGTCTCTTACACTGATCAGCCACAGCTTCCAGCCACTTTCTCCCCCTGGCCTTCTCAGATGGCTTAGATGACACAGATCACTCAGTGCTGGGAGTCAAAGTCAACTGGGACCATGAGCTCTTACTGTGTGCCAGGCTGGGTGTTAGACACTGGAGGGTAAATGATGAGCACGATAGAGTCCCTGTCCTCACGTGTGCACAGCTGAGTAAGCAAAAGACAGGGGAAAGTATTTATTACCCCACTCCAAACCATCTTCACATTATATAACAGGCTTTCAAACTCAAAGAAATGACTGTCTCAGCCCAGAGGGATGGGAAGGACCCCGTGACGCCCTTAAATTATACTCTAAGCAGCTACGTGTGCTGCTTATGCCTCAGGTTAACTCTGGCTGGGCTTCAGCTTTAGTGATTTTTCCTCTTTGCCAAGTGCAGAGTGCAAAGCTTGGGAGCAGCTGCTATCTACTAGCCCTTTGACCTTGGATGACTGGAGTCATCTCTGAGCCTCAGCTACCTCATCTGTAAAATGGCTATAGCAAAATGGCTTTATGTGGCTAAAAGGAGATAATGGGTGAAGTATCTAGAACAGTGCCTGAAGACAGTAGGTGCTTTACAAATGCTAGAACCAAATTCTTATCTTGTGCTATGGTTGGCCAGAGCCAAACAGGATAAAAGTCAGACCCTCAGTTCCCTTTTGGAAATGAAGCCTTTGTCCTCCCGGATACTTCGCCGATTGCATACCACCAGGGCTCTAGGATATAAAAGAGAGGAAGGCTACGTAGGATCTCCCACCTTTTAATTTTTTTAATTGAGGGTACAGGAGACTCCAATTAGGGCAGTGGCGCCAAGAAGGAAACACAACCGCAGGCCCTGAGGGCCACCCTCCTGCTGAGAGCAAAGCTCCAAGGGCCAAGTCAGCTAAGGGTTACCCTTTACTGCAAACTCCCATCCCCCACTGTCACTATGCATTAAAGGGCCAGGCACCAGGAATAAGCTGGTCAGTGACAGCTGCTCTCATTAACAGTTTGCTCCTCCAACTTTTTTCTTTTCTGGCCTTGATTTAAAAAAAAAAAAAAAAGGAAGGAAGAAAGAAATGACCAAAGCCATCAAGAAAGCTAGTCCCTTAGGCTTGGATTCCCATGCCCAGGCTGACAAGCAGTTCAGATGCTACTTTTTTCTGTGGTGCCCATTCTGATCCCTCAACTTCTCTTCCTTCTTCTTGACCACAGGACGCTGCCCTTGCCTGCCCATTGACACACCCTACGCCGCTACTAGGGCCCAGGGTGCTGCCTCCTGTCTGTGTAAGCAGCTAGACTGGGATTTGCTTGAGAGCAAGGACGTGCCTTATCCATCCCCATACCTTTAAGACAATGTTCCCTATAGCGTTCCCAACAAAGCTTTGATCAACTCACTGATTCTAGGTTTTTGTTTATTAAGCGAGCATTTACTTACTCTGAGCTAGGATCTCTAAGAGGCCTTGGTGAGACAGAGAGAATAACATGTTCCCTGCTCCGGAGACACTTACAGTCGAAAAGGAGACACACATAAGCTATCTTATTAGAGAATGATCGGTGTTAAGAGAAAGGCAAGTGGGGAGAGGTTGCTATAGGGAGACATGGCTGTAGCCAGCCTTAGAAATCAGAACTAGGACAAGGAGCTGGTTGAGAGCTCTCTATTGTTCACCATTCTTACAGCTAATGAGCAAGAATTATACTAGCAACAATACAACCGACAGGTGTGGCGCTTAAACATCCAGTCATTGTATTCTGGGATATCTGGGGGGCTGAGAGCTCCTCTGAGTAGGGCCCAGGCCTGGACAATATCAGAGGAGGTGTTCAGTTGTGTTTGCTGAATAAGACCCTCAAAAGTTTTAGAAAGCAGAGGTGACTGAGGAATTAGAAATGCCTTACACCTCACTCTCACGGGGAGTCAGGGATAAAGCTTGTGAAAAGGGCAGCCCATCCGTTTGGTGCACACTAGAACGCAGCCCATCTCAAGTCCCCTCTCTAGGGAGCTCTGTGACCTGCGGTGCAAGGCCCTGAGCCTGCAGCAAGGCCCTCTTCTCCACTCAGTACCAAGTTTAGGGTCTAACCAAGATACCCTGAAGGTCACAAAGGGGAAGGTGGATGTTCTGCAAGAAGCTGGGAAGTTCTACTCTATAGTAAGTGTCTGTCAAAGCAGCACGTGAGCACCAGATGAGTCAGAAGGTCAGGGCTCTGCTGCTAACGTGCCATGTGACCTGAGCAAGTTTCTTCCCCTCTCTCACCCTACATTTCCTCATCTATAAAACGCGGGAGTTGGACAATGTCTAAGATCCGTTCCAATTTCAACAATCTATGAGTCCATGAACCATTTATGTCAGTGGAGAAGAGGATTTGCAGATCATGTCTGATTAAAACTCAATATCTAAGATCCCTTGTAATTCCAACAATTCATGAGTCCCTGAACCATCTATGTTGAGGGAGAAGAGGATTTACACACCAGGTCTGATTAAAACTCAATATCTAAGATCCCTTGTAATTCCAACAATTCATGAGTCCATGAACCATCTATGTTGGTGAGGAGAGGATTTACAGATCATGCTTGATTAAAAGTCACATATGGAAATAAGCAGGAATTATTTTCATTGTACTGAAGAGGCCCTGGAATGGGTGACTCTTCAGAGGTCAAGCAGAGAACAGGCCTGAGTGCTCTCTGGCTCTACTAACTGAGCTGGAAACATTTAACAAGCAAGCAGTCTAGGCCTGGGCTTGCAAACCAAGGACAAGATGCTACTTACTATGCAGCAGGCCACCAGGGCTCCTTGAGCAAATCCTGCCAGGACATCACCGGGATGGTGCTTGTGGTCAGAGACACGTGACAGTCCCGTGTAGAAGGCCATCATGAGCAAGGTGAACTGCAGGAGGGGCCGGAGCAGGCGGGCACCTCGCCAAGTAAAGCGGGCCTGCAGGTACAGCTGGAGGGAGGAGAAAAAAGGAGCACAGACTAAGTGACATCCGGTTCACTTGCATTATAACACCAGACTGGACCTGGTCCATACACTACATTTCTGCGAAATGGAACAATTGAGACCTTGGTGGTATGCTACAGAAGGAGCATCCAACTTGGACATGACCTCAGGCCAGTTATTTAAACTCTAAGCCTTAGTTCTCGTACTAAAAAATAAGAAAAATAGAGCTTACCACCTAGGGAGGGTCAAGCATGATAATACATTTGAATGGCCTTAGCAACCTGTTCAGCACAATTAAAAAAAAAAAAAAACCATTGCCATGGAGTCATTTCCAACTCATGATGACTCCATGTGACTCACAGCAGAACTGTGCTCTGTAGAGTTTTCAATGGCTGATTCTTTGGAAATAGATTGCCAAGACTTTCTTCCAAAGCACTTCTGGGTAGACTGGAACCTCCAACCTTCCAGTTAGCAGCTGAGTGCGTTAACCCTTTGCCCCACCCAGGGACACCATCTGGCAAATAGTAAGCACTTAATAAATTAGAGTTTCTTGATGTAAACTCTAATTCAAGAAAAGTAACCAGGGTTAAAAAATGTTTCTTTTTTATAATGGATGACAACTCCCTTAACCCAGTCGTGTGTTTTTTTCCTATGGATTACAGGTGTACAATCTCTACACTACCTGCCTCTCAGAACTGCCATGGAAATCAAATATGTGACACAAATGTAAAGGGTGGTTATCACAACACTCAGAAAGGGATGCTTCTGCTTCAAAGGAAAGCGATTCCATCAAAGAACTAATTCCTACATCACCACTACAGATCTATGGATTTTGAATAAGAATATAAGGAAACATAAACCAACAGACAATGCCAGAGAACTTTCAAATAAAGGTTGGCACAGACACTGAATTGGGTGGGGAAGAAGATTAACCTGAAGAAAATCGGGGAAAAAAAACCAGCAAAACACCCCCGGCTGAAGCAAAGAAGTTGAAATGACGTCAACTGGGCATTGTCCCCTTGAAGTTATCTTGCTGCAGTTTCCGTTCTAACCTCTGGGCACAACCTACTTCCCAGGTTCCTGTGGGAACTTGGGGAATGAGAGGGAAGAGGCAACAGGACAAGGGGAACTTCCGACTACAAATCAAAGCACTCAGAGAGGCCAGGCGAAAGGGGAAAGGAGCAGAGGGGAGGGGTCTGATGGCCTAAAGATAGACTTGGGACAGTGGCAAAGGCGTGACTTTGCCCTTCCTGTGACAAATGGACACCTTCCTTTTGGTGGTCAGGGAAGAGCAAGTGGTCGGTCTTGAGGACACAAGAAGAGTGGAAGATCCCCAAGTCACTCACTCTCGGCTGTGCAGGGTCAGCCTACAGAACTGAATCAACTACTTAGGAAACTATCTCAGTAAAGTCAGGCAACTTTATAACCGTTCTGAAATTGTATGAATGTGTGATTGGAAAACCTAAGAGTTACAAATGGAAAAAAAATAAGAGACTGCATTGATGTGGTCGGCCAACACATGAGTGGTAAAAATCAATACCTTTCTCATACACAAATAATTAGTTAAAAATCTAAAAGGAGAAATAAAATCCTCATAATAATAAGATGATTAAATAAACAGTAATTAATTTACCAAGATCTGCACAGGGCTTTTACAAAATATGGGACGTAAGGGACAATTTAAATAAATACAGACCTAGAATTTTTATTTACAAGAACACCCAATTTATAAATTAAAAGTTGATATGTAAATTCAATAAGATTTCCATGAACATTCTCCAAAGATGTGGAGGAAAAATTTGAAAAAACAATTATTATAGAGATAATCTAAAAGACCAAACCTGTGGAACTAGCCGGGAAAAGCAAAAACAAAAAGAAGGCAGGTATTCTGGTGGGTACTAAGGGCACAAAAATGACAAGTTGTAATCCCTGCCCATGGAGCATATAGTCGGGGAATACATGAAAACTAGTAAGTATGAATAGGTGTTTGCTGGGAGTTAAGAGGACAGTAGTGAGGGGTGTGTACTGCAGGCACAGCCATGGCATAGAGGCCAGCAATCAAAGTTCCCAAGAACAAGCTGGAGAAGGGGGTGTATGAGGAGGTGCTGAGAAAAAGGGCTGGAGAGGCAAGCAGGGGCTAGATTATGAAGGCCCTTGGATGCCAGACTAAAGAACTTGGCCTTTATTCAGTAGGCCAGCGTTTCCTAAACCATACTCCATGGAATACTAAGAGTCTTTCAGTAAAAAAAGATTGGTAAATATAGTAAACCCTTATTTTAGTCATTTACAATGCTTATAAGATGATTAAAGGCTCTGAGAAGTTCTGTAGAAAAAGACTTACTTGACCTTAAATCATTATTTTTTTATAGAACACCTACTTATTGAATCATGACTGGGAAATGCTGCTGAAAGCAATCGTGAGAAGCTAAATAGTTTTAAGCAAGGCACACAGTATCATAAAAAATAATGTGGTTGCTTTTCAAGGGCTCTAGGCAAGCCTGGGTCACTACAGGCAATTTTAAAGTCACAGAAAAGCCAAAGTTTAGGCCAGAGACGACTCCTCATTTCTGCTGAAATCACCCAGCAAGTGGGAAGGCTGCCATCATGAATCAAAAGATCCCTTTATTTTGGGAGCAGGGATGGGGATGATGCTGGTCCAGCTCCTACTCAGCAGAGTCTTTAGGACAATGGCGAGATCAAGGCACAGGGAATATTCTATTTGCAATGTGCCCACTATGGTCTGGATTTGCTCCAGCTATTCTTGGCAGTGGATGGGGGTGGGATGGGTAAGAGAAATCACATACATTTTAATCAGAAAATTCTCACTGAGCCTCAGTTTTCTCATATACAAAATAGGTTTCAAAACTACTATCTTCCAGGGCTGTGGTAAGAAATGATGACGTAGATCAAGTGCCTGACACACTCAATAAATTGTAGTTGTTGCTGGATGCCGTCGAGTTGATTCCAACTCATAACAATCCCATGTGTTACAGATTACAACTGCCCCATAGGGTTTTCTTAGCTGTAATCTTTATGGAAGCAGATTGCCAGGTTTTTCTCCTGCAGAACCAGTGGGTGGGCTTGAACTGCTAGCCTTTTGGTTAACACCTGAGCACTTAACCCTTGTGCCACCAAGGGCACCTTGCTCACTAAATAGATGATTTCATTCTCTAGCCACTTTTCTTTAATAAGCCCAACAGCCCCAAGATTTTTTTTTTTTTATTTCCTTCACTGAAAAAGGTGCAGGTCCTCAGAAAATGACTTTTCAAAACCCAACCCTTCCCCCCACCCCACACAGCCCATGCAAGTAGACTTTAGGTCAAGGGCCTTGGGAATCAGGGTGGGGCAGAGGAAGGGTGGGTTTCCAACCGGACGAGGCACACATCTCCCCTTCCAATGACTCAGATACGTAAGGCTAGAGCTTAATAAAAGAAGAAAATAAATACATGAGAGGAACTTGAGGAGGGAGGAAGAGAGCAGTCATCAGAATAGCTTCAGGAAGGGAGTGCTTATGAATGAGAAAGGAGTAGGGGGCCATGGGAAAATAATTCAGTTGGGAAGCAGTCAGACAAGGGACTGCAGTCACCAGAGAGAAGCCTGTTCCCCTATGTGCATCAGTGACTAACACATTTACTGAGGAATGCCTCAAGAACCGGGGTTGATCCTGGTGTCTATAGATGGTGCTTCAGGGGAAGCTGTGAAATAGTAAAGTGTATTTTGAGGTGAGACAGCCCTGATTCCAGTCTTGGCTCTACCACTTACTAACTGTGTGTAACTTTAGCAAGTTACTTAAGCCCTCTAAGGCTTTAAAACAGAGATGACAGTTATCTCCTTCTCAGTGCTAACAGGATCAAATGAGACAATATGCCAAGTACTCTTCCCGGCATGAAACAGGCATTCAACACACTCCAGCAACTGAGGTTACCCTTTTGCCTTGATAAATGAGATTTACTCAATGACTTTGTTGATTTCACCAAAATAAGTAAATTACTAACAGAAAAGGTTGCACAACCACCTTCCACCAGTCAGATTTGAGAAGTAAGCTGGTGGCAACAGGCTTTGAGATTGATCAAAGGATCTGATAACTCCCTCCCCATCCCACAGCAATCTAACTTAAATAGACTGGATTTCGCCAGAGTATAACCCCATTGACGTGAGCCACTCCACACCAGAATGGAGGGTTTTTTTTTGTTGTTGTAAAGTGAAGGATGTTTGAAGTCACACACTTCCACAGCTGGGCCTCACTCTGATCAGCAGGTACATTCTGGAGTGCTCTGAGGTTGTTGTTAGCTGTCGTCAAGTCAGCCCCTGACTCATGGGGACCCCATGCACAACAGAAGAAAATGCTGCCCGGTCTTACCGCATCCCCATCATGGGTTGCAGATCAGACCACTGTGACCCATACGGTTTTCTTTGGCTGATTTTGAGAAGTAGATCAGGCCTTTCTTTCTAGTCCTTCTTAGTCTGGAAGCTCTGCTGAAATCTGTTCAGCATTACAGCAACACACAAGCCTCCACTGACAGATGGGTGGTGGCTGCACATGAGGTGCATTGACCAGGAATAGAACCTGGGTTCCCCCGCATGGAAGGTGAGAATCCTACCTCTGAACCACAAATGCCTCTCCTGGAGTGCTCTACTCTATTGGAAACCCGAACCTGGGATGATATCTAACTATGGAGGTTCTACTCATTCCCACTCCAGAAGGGGCAGGTGCACCTTATTAGGGAGAGGAAGTCAAACCCTCCTGACAACAATGATTCCATGCCCCTGCCCTGGGCCAAAACAGCAAGGAGACTTTTCCAGGATCACAATTCCTACAGGGATTTTAGCTAAGTCCTAAACACCCTGAATAGGTGATTAGGAAGGGGGAAGTGCAACTGAACAAAACCACTAATGCACTTCTCCATTGTCAGCAGCCCGGAGACCTTATCTATTCTCACTTCCCCATCTGTGTGAAGACCTCTGTGCTGGGAGAATCAGGGGTCTGGATCCACTTCCTGAGCATC